TAAAATAGAGGGTAAGAAAATATAAGAAGATGAACGAAGCGACGCAGACTTTGGTTGTGTCCGTGTTCGGCGCGAGATCGAAAATGAGAACTACTAGTAGGTGGGGAGCTCTTTGTCTTGCCTTGCATGCATTTCAAGTCAGAGAAGAGCAATTAAATATCGTCTCTGGTGGACACGCGTCTCTTAATTCGGGTCCATCCTGGCACTCAAGTCTTTGTATGGGAGTAATAATCTTTGGGAATATCTTAGAGATCACTAAAGTATATTCATTAATCATTACAATACCATAAAAAAAAGCTCAAACAAGTAATAATTTTTAAAAAAAAAATAAAAGAAATGGTGAACCCATAATTTAAATTCTTTGAAATTAAAATTTATAAATTTATGTGAGCTGGCTTTTTTTTTAAAAAAAAGAAGATTTTATATTTATAAAAAATAAGAAAATGCTGAAAAATATTTAACAAAATTTACAGAAATTAAAAGATATTAAATTTAGCGAGAATTTAAATAAAAAAATACATTGAATTCTTGTTTGCTATAATTTTATATGCTCCTCTTTTAATTTTAAATCCACGTATTAGTTTAATTTTTAATAGGATTAAAATATTTTGTTAAGAAGTCTAATATTCTTAATTTTATTGATTGAAATTATGTCAAAAAAATTTCAGACTATTAATCCACCCTCGTAATCCAAATTTAAGTACATATGAGGAAATAATTATTTGCTTACCGAAGGTAATAAAGCAATTTGCTTAGTGCGGCCAGATTTTATGTGCAAAGTCGCAATCGCTCGCGTGTGATTTCAAGTGATACATATAGCAGAGAGATTTTAGATTAATTCTGTATTATTTCGATTTTGAGGTAACATCATCCATATTAAATGGATAGACGCAAACTCCGCAATAACGTGGCATGCATTCTACTTTTGTCGGTGTGGGTTTTAGTAATTCAAAACAAAACAAAAGAAAAAAAGAAAAAAAGAAAATGTAAGAAAAAGACGACTTGTTTTCTGAAAGAGTTAACACATGACAACTTGGATCTGCGGTATGGCAAGCAGCCACTTTTGAAGTTTGAATATTCTATCGCCTTGATTCCTCAATACTGCATAATTTCAAAGCATCTAATATTTGAATCATTCATACTTCATAAGTTTTTCTTTTCTGAAATTTATATGGATCTGTTTTTAGATTTTTTTTAAAAAAATTTGAAACTATAGAAACTTTAGTTTAATTTTTAAATTTTAATTATTTCACTAATTTACAAAAAATAAGTAATTTTTCAATGCAATCCACAAAATTTAAAAATTGAGCATTGTTGTAGTAGTAACTCATAAATTTGTATAACTTACAAATTATACGTAATGTGAGTAATAAGGACTTTTATTATTTAATCAAGCTATAGGGGTTTGAATTCGAACTCTTATATATATATGTGTGTGTGTGTGTAATAATTTAGTTGAAAAGGTATATCTGTTGCATGTCAAAACGTTGGAGGAGAATATTCTTTGTTGTCGGTGAAATTTACTTCTTGTATGCAGTAACGAAGCTAGAACTCACAAGTGAGATGGTGCAAAAGTTTAAAACTCAGTGGCAGCAAATACAAAATAGTAAAACTTAAAGGTAAGTAGTTTGAAAATTTACAGGCGTAAACATAAATGTATACATTAAATTTAAAATCTCTCCTAAAATGAGAGGGTGCACTTGCCCTATCCTAGTCTCGCTGTGCCACTTCTTATGCTCACAAAAATAAAATATAAAATGGTATAACTTACTATAATTATTTTATTTTATACTTATATTTTTATATGTATTATTTTTAGATATACTCCCTCCGTTTAAAAATATAAGGCATTTTTTGAGAAATTGGATGTTCAAAAATGTAAAATATTTTTAGCCTTTTGAGGTGTAATCATTACTTTTTTTTTCAAAAGTGCCCCTATTAATTATGATTTTATATTTATTGTAAGGTGTTTAATAAGAGTAAATATAAAAAGATAGAATTAATTAAAAAGTAGGTAACTATTTTATTAAGAGGTGAGATTCAGTTAAAAATATCTTATATTTTTAAATGGAGCGAGCGAACAAGCGTGCGCGTGCACGCACTTGGGGCTGGTGAAAGGGATCAATGTCTCTTGACGCATGACGAACTAAGATTTGAGTTTTTATTAAAAAAAAGGTGTTTAAATTTAGCGCACGATCATACCTCAAATAAGAGTATGTCCAATAGAAAAATATTCATGAACAATAAAAATAAATAAATATGTATATGTAAATTCAAAAAATAAAAATAATATACAATATATAAAAAGTTGTATTATTCAAAAATTATGATGAATAGTATAGCTTCATGCAATGCATAGAAAAACAAGTCTAATATGTAATAAGTTTTAAATAAGATTATTTTAAAAAGACAAAATAAGATAGACTACTGATATACATAATTAAGAAAAATAAAAGATCACATCGTTGTTAATTCAAAGAGAGGTGGACGGGAAGAACAGCATATTAGGACTTGAGATGAAGGGCCTTGATTATGTTTTTGAATTCGGGCTCAATAATATTTAAAGATAAAATAATAAAAAAAGTACGCACTACTTTCCCATAATATGATTAAATATTATAATATTTATTGATAACTTAGCAACAGTCTGCCAAGTTGATTGAAAATTATTTCTTGCCAAGGTGCATTTTATTTGCTTTACTTATGGGGACCTTAAATAATTCTTCCTAAAATAATCGATAATATCAAATACTCCCTCTATTAAAAAATGTAAGGTATTTTTTAAAAAGTTGTATGTTCAAAAATACAAGATATTTTTAATCTTTTGAGATATAATCATTATTTTTTAAAAAAAATATTCTTATTGATAGTGACTTTATATTTATTTTGTAAAGTGTTTAATGGGGGTAAATAAACAAAAATAGAGTTAGTTTAAAAATAAATATTTATTTTATTAAGGGTGAGATTTAATTAAAAATATTTTATATTTTTTAACAAAAGAAATACTAATTATTAAAAATTAAAAATGTAAGTTTAACAAATATATATGTGTGTGTCTATGTAAACTAAGTTGATTGAAGATATTTCACTAAAATTAATATTAAATAAAAAGTAATATTTTTTTTAAAAAAATTGCATATATTTTGAAAATAGAAAATCACATCAGTTCAACAAGTAGCGTAATTTTATTTACTCTTTCCTGATTGTATCGTACATAGGCACTGGTAGAGAGCAGAGGGCATGAAACTGTGTTTGTAGTTTGCACATTTACGATGATGAGGCCGGATTCATTGATTGAAGAACAGGACAGTTGTTTGAGACTGAGCACCAAACTGCAGAACAAGACAGTTCAATACTACTAACTCTAATATCATGTTTTCTAAAACATTTAAAGGATAACGTATGATAGTTTGATTTGATGATGAAAAGTTGATATAGCCCCCTCTACTGATGTGTGTGTTTTTTTTTTTTTTAAAAAGTAATGATTGATGGAATCGGTACGTCTCGCGTAGTTATCCAACTCCACCGATGTTTGGTTATGTCGGAGAGGTGGAGAACGGGGAGAGTGCCAACAAATTAGGGGTAGTTGAGGGATGCATGGAATCAAGATCTTTTTATAAAAAAAAAATAAAAAACATATTTTTATATTCTTGTATTTTGTTCTCGTTTTATTATTAATTTTTATTTTTTTAATGTTTTTGATTTTTGTATTTTTATGTTTTATTATTTTAAATCATTATACTTTATTTATGAAGGGATCTAAAATAATAAAAAATAAAAGTATATGAATTAATAATAAAATACGAGTAAAATACATGGATCTAAAGTTATCTTTTTAAAAAAAAATTATATAATCTTTATTACATTGATTTGTAATTATTATTTAATGAATGACTTTGTTTTATCAACAAGAGTGAGGATAGAATAGAGTGTTAGGATAAGAAAGTAAATCAAACATAAATATTCTAACATAAACATTATCTTAAATAAAATTGTCTTCTATAAAAAAAAATATTCATAATCAATCAACGGAAAGACAGGAAACTCAAGTCACAATGTGCAAACTTTTTCATGGAGGGATTGACGATTTAGAGTCTATTATCACAAAGCTATTACTTTTTTATAAAAAAAAATTAACTTAATAAGTTGCGCAGCACATTTATTTATATAATTAAGATCCTCTCAAATCCCTTAAATATAAAATGTAATAGTATACCCTGAAAAAGTCCTCCTGCTGCACTAAGCTGGAGGCTCATTGTTCCAAGCCAGTGCCTTCGCTCCTTTAGTGAAGCCCCTTTTGATGCTTGGATCTCCATTAATAATATTCAAACTCGTAACAGCATCAAGATTTGGAGGATCACTTTCGGTATAATGTGCCGGAAACTGTCGGCTGTTGCAAGTGAGAAACAGACGCGAATTTCGCCAGGAAGCCATCTAAACTTGTGGCATTGTGAATGAAATCATTTCCATAGCAAACTACACACTTAGTCCGTCTGGTTATTAGAAAATAATGAAATAAAATGAATTAAACAAATTAAGATAAAAATAAACTAAATCATCTTTCTTCCCATGATAAGTTTAAGAAAACTCATTAATATATATTATAAATGTGATAATTATTACACCCTTTAAAAATTTTATGAACCATAAGTCTCAACCTTTCAACTAAATTATCTCTTTTTTTTATAAATGCATTCATCTATATTCTTTAATCATTTTATTTTTATTTTTTAATCTATTTTATTATACTTTATTTTAATAAATAAACGTGATCTTAGAGCTACTGAATTATGTAACTTTTTCAACAATAGGTACACTGTTTAGTTTCTTTGAGGCAGCATTTTTTCTCCTGTCTCTTATAGATTGCGTCGTGGTGATGTTTCTGTATCGCTTGTACAGTATTTTTGTTGAATGAGATTCATCTCACCTCTATTTTAACAAAAACAACAAAAAAAAAAAAAAACCTCGAAACTTCTGTCCAAGAAAGAATGGTTTGAGGCTTTGAGTGAAGCTCCTGAACCTTTTTAGCTCGGCCTCCGAAGCTGTGATATTAATAATATAACATGGCTACAAGAATAAGAAACCCGAAATTTGGTACCTTTTCAGTATTGAATATTCACATTTCGGTTAAAGAAATAATAATCATGGCAACCAGATTTCCTAGGACAAAAAAGATCTGCTATATGCAAGTTTAGTGTCGGTATCGGCAATGGCCCTAAGAACTTTCTTCCACTCTGTTATTTCTGTGCACCAACGGGGAAAAAAAACAGAGAGAGACAGAACGAAACACGCAATTATAAATCCAATCATCTCCACTGGCCACACTAACAATGTGGGATGCAGCCACCACTTAAAATAGCTCGGCTTCCCCTAACTCTGTTTTCCAAACCCCAACGCGCAGTAGATTCTCAAAAGCCTAGCTAAAGATGAACCAAGACTGCGGGCTTATTATGTGCCATTTTTGGGTTCCATACTTGGTAATTTGCTGCGCCATTATCGAGCGATCATGAGCAGATAAATAGGCTATATGCTCAAAATATAAGGCCAGAAATAGAGTAAAACCGATTGGCCCTGGAACATCCGGATGCTCATGGTAAAGTAGGGTTAGCAAGTCCCATAGATGCTGCAACTTCTCTGGTAGCCAATTCGTCAGCTTGTTCCTAAATAGATAAGAAAATACATCCAGAGTCAACAAAATTTGATAATCTAAAGGATTACATGCTTGCTTGTCTTAGTAATTGTCATAAACTATATTCTATAAATATCGCAATCAGCTGAACATTGTTACCTGAAGGCGATGTAACAGATACATCAAGAAGAGATGCACAAACACCTGCGAACAATTTCTTCAGGTTATCAAAGAGTTCAAATCCTTTTGTGGTATCCTATTCCAAATATTTGACTTTCTAAACACATTCTGAACTAATCTCACCAGATAGAAAAACAAAATAACTCGAGCTGTAGGATACCGCCAGAGAAATCTCGTGGCCCTCACAGCCCCCGAATCTAGCAGTTTCACTGCCTTCTGTAACTGTATCAAGCGTGTCAAATATTAAGCCAGAATTAGTGCTGAAGGGAGATTGCAAATGACTTGAAGTATGTTTGTTGTTATACCTGAGCACTTGCACCGACCAAATGACGATGATATACGGGAAGAGGCCTGCAATATTAATTCTATAAAGTCATTTTCCTGATTCCACAATTGGAAATGAAAACAAATTACTCCAGCAAGCATAACCAATCAAACAGGTGAGCTAATTTTTAAATTGCAATGAAAAAATACATTTATTCCAAATACAATAACAAATTAGAATCCCAGAAACGAATTAGATTTCATATTTAGACGTAAAAAATGACTGATTAAACAGATTGAAGCATTATAGATTCTTGTTCCTTTATATCTAATGAGGGAGGACCTAAGTTCTGCAATGGGGGCTGGTAGGGACATACATATCCCTATCAGCAAGCACATAACCAGTTAAGCTCAAGCCTTTAGTAGCTTCCTTCATAAAATATATTACAGAAAACAAGGATGATGATATAAAATAAACAGGACACACATACTCAAGGGGTTTTATTTCAGTGTCTTCTTCCCAAGATGAGGATGATGCCCGTCGGGAAACTCGACTTCTTTCAGCCTCTACCTGTTCGAATGACACTGATTTCAACTTGTGTGGAGCAAACTATCAATTAAGCAGCCAAGATAGCATAACACATACCTGTGCTTCTTGAATCCTCTTTATTTCCTTCTCTAATTGAAACTCTGTGGCAGCTTTTTCACTGGCCATGGTTTCTAACTGTGTTTGCTTATAGTACTAGAAATGACAAACAGGAATGCATATTTGTAACAGATAACATAATCAAACATCACGGGTAATAAATGAAATTTAACAATGAATTACCAAAAGATCAGTTAGCTCACGATAGCGTTTCTCAAGTTCCATATGCTCCTGAGAGTGTCATATAACTATAATTAGTACAAGTGCAGCCTTCCAACCTTACCATGACATCATAACATCTTAGAAAGGCATATTTAGTTCCAGTTTTAACGGACATCCAAAACCACAAAAGAAAAGGAAGATTGCATTTGAAGTAAAATTATGAAGCACTACTCCTCCAATGGTCGTTAGAGACTTACAGTCTTACAGAAATTTTAAAGCAATGGTAACATCCGATTGACATAACATAGTTAGCATATTATAATGAAAATACCTGGATGCATATGATTGCCAATTTACAGAAAACTCAAAGGACCCCTTTCACAAGGGAAGGTGTGAATTTATGTCTGCTAGGTTAAATTAATCCTGACCACCTAATTTTCAACCATTAAAACAAATGCCAAGTCCATTGTATCTTCAAGTTAAAACCATTTGAAATCACTAGCAGACTTCAAGCAAAATTAACATAGTATAACACCTTGTCAAGAAATAATGTCGAAAGTACCTTTTTATGTAATATATAAAATTAATAATAGCTTTTAATTGATGAAATCAGCAGAAAACAACGAAGTTGTTTGACATTTGAGTCCGCCAGCAATGCAGCTGTGTAATCAAGTCTGAGTCCAGCTAATTTTAGAAACATGGTTTTGTGTCTCCATGCAATCTAAGAAAATAGACATCATGGATAATTCCAGCGTCCACATATGAACAAGGCTATTTTTGAAGATACAAGGTCACAGCTTATTTCATAAAGTCATTATATTAAATTTTTCTTGTCTTTACTGGTACGGAAAAATTTTAATGGAAAACATTCAAAAAATTGAATTAGCACTAACATTATAGGAGATGCAACTACTTAGATTAAAAGAGGAACGTTTTTTTAAAATAACCTCAACCAACTTCATTTGATGCCATTTGTTCACACACAGAAAGATATGATGCAGCATAGATTTTTATTCTTAAATCTATGACAGAATTACATTAATTTAACTTTGAGAAAGATCCACAAGGGACAAATGTACATGCCTAAGCGTATGCACAGCTATATGAATATACAATAGTTTATGATCCACAATTCAAACATTAAGCTTTTCAATTTACGATTTGACAGCTTTTCTCATAAATTGAATAACAAATTTTATGTGGGAAACTATGAAATTTCAAAAAGCCAGCGGCCTTGCTTTGTGTATTTACACGTGTTTGACAAGAAGAGTTAACTTGTAAATAAAGTAAGACACATCAGAGGCAATACCTGACGAGAGTAATGCTCAGCATCCCTCTTCATGGCAGCCATTTCAACTCTCATTTTTTGCAACTCAGCCTGAACTCAGAAATAATGAATGTTAGTAAGCAAATTTCAACCTAAAAGATGGAAAATTATAATCTCATAAAAATATTAAATGCAATTAAAAGTTATTTGCCTCCAAAGAAGAAAGCTTGTTTTCAGCATCTCTCTGACCCTGGCGTGCACGCTCCACTTCTTCTTGCCACGCCTGAATCTGAATGTATGAAACTTAAGTCATTATTATCTAAACATATGAAACTTTACATTTGAACATATACAGCAGGGTAGATGCAAGTAGTTGATACGACCAGACTCCCAGTCTGCACTTCCACATGATACACAACATTCATTGAGAATGCATGTCAAAGTAGGGTCACAAAATATAATTATTCTAGTACTGATGTAGGTAAATACCTGCTTATGTTTTTATTGATTGGGAAAATATAACTTATGCTTGGAAATTCTCACAAGAATAATGTAACGACCTGCTAATATGGAGTCGATGCATCATTACATCATACTAAATGTTGTTTGAAAAAGTTTAGGCCATGAAACATGTAGGGTGTCAGCTCTATTATAATAAGTAGTTTATTAAAATACAATAATGTACAAAGAGACCTACAGCAAGGAAAATTAATTGATAATGAGATGCCTAAGTAGTACCTGAATTACTTGATTTGTTTCTTCTGGTGACTTCTTTTGCTCACGACGAGCGCGTGTTTCCATATCTTGCAGTTCTTGATTTAAAGATGCACACTCAACCTAGTAACAGAAGGCTCAAAAAATGATTTACTAGACCTTTATTTCAGAATTAACAATCAGACTTAGCCTTTCCCTTACTTTCTTGAAAAAAAAATCACTAATTAAATGTTCCCTATGTACCTCAAGAAGTGCCACCTTCTGCTCCAGTTCTGTGGCCTTTGCTGTTCTCTCATCTGCTATTCTCTGAAACGAGAAGCAATTAACTACTCGATGCAAATGTAATGCTCTGATGTCAGAAATGGTTCTACAATTCTTAGAGCTTAACAGGGGAAAAATAAATATAACCAGCTTAGTAACACAAGGATAAATACAGTTACTTTACTAGATGATCAAGTTACCTGTATCCTTGCAAGGGCTGTAGATGCCTCAACAGCTCTGTGCTCCAATTCCACTTCTCTCTCCATGGCAGACTGTCTCACCAATCACAGAATAAGAAAGCTACAAGGCAAAAGGTACAAAAAGAAATAAGGACTCTAGCTACAGACCATTTTGGTAGCATTATGAGCTGCACGCTCCTCTTCTGCTCTTCGTTCAGCAGATGCTAGCTCCTCTCTTAAAGCCTATGAGAATAAAAATTTTATAATGCAAAAGTTCATTTTATAAATCATGAATATCAGAATAGTTAAGGGAATCTTAAATGTAGCAGATCTTTTACTTGCATCATTCTTGTCTCTGTCAGTTCTCGACTTCTCATAATAGACTCCATGCTTGCCTGATTAAATGTAATTAAGCCAAAATCATAGAGAAAAAAATAATTAGGCAAGTGAACAAGCTACTCAGTCACCATAGTTAGCTGATGGTTTTTGTTTACAACAAAAAGACACGCATATAACAGCTCAATGATATTTTCTAAAAGAGACTACACTGACACAGAAAGAGCAATTTCATATATGCAGCTCTCTCATTATCATATGACGAATACAGCAGGTCATATCATGTTTGGGGAGGGTCTATTAGACAATATCTTCTGCATGCAAACCAGATATTTCATTGTGCATTTCTAGCAAGTTATATCTTTTGAAAACTACACAGTAGGTAATTGAAATTATATGGCTAAACTCTTACTTTTATATGTAGAAAAATGATAGTTGGCTAATTATATTTCTATCTGTATGTAGAAATGATAAAATGAAAAAGGAGCTCACTTAAACTTCAAGGAATACATTAACTAGGTGACATTCTCAGCCAAACTCAAATATGCCAACACTTGAGCGACCCAGTGTGTTCATTGAAGGAGAAAACTTTTGCAAGGGACTAAAGAAAACGATGCAGGACATGTAGATCAGATAGTAGCTGTAGGGGAAAAAAAACACAAGCAAAATATTCAATTCAACTATGAAGAACCTGAAGAGAAGCAAGATTTCCCTCAGATAATGCTGCCTGTCTTTTAACAGCATCCATAGAACTGACAAGAGTATCAATTTCAGCATTCTTTGCCGCCAAGGCATCAGACATATTTGACTCTACTCTGGATACTTCCCTTTTACATTCAGACAAATCTTTCTGTAGCTCTTTCATTCGAGCTTCATAAGATTTACTCAACTCTCTCTGTAAAGTTAGCATTAATTTAATATTGCAACAATTAATTATTTTTCTATTGGAGAAACATGATAACACCTAGTCCTTTAAACATGGAATAGTAATGCAGCTTCACCTCTGCACTAAGAAGTTCCTCCAGCTGTGCATTTTCAGCTTTGTATTCTTGAAGTCGGGATGATAATCCAGCACAGACCTGAACAACAATAAGAAAACATCAACTAGATGTCTAACCAGCAATTAGGAAGAAATTATTGCTAAGATCCCAGAACCAATCTGCAGGATATGCCACTGTAATCAGGCCTCTCCCATTTAGGGAGGCCTTGGATGACAGAAATGTTTGTTGACAGCATTCTTACCCGAGCTAACCTTGCCTCTTTAGATTGACCAGTAGATTTTGCTGTTTTAAGCAGTCCTTGAGCCTGTGAACCAGCTAAAAAAACTAATCAGAAGTAATTCAATAGAGGATAAGTATTTGAAGAAACAAATTATAAACTTCTCTCTTATGATAAATATGACACCTCATCAAGTTGATCTTGTACTTTCTTTGAGTTATCGGTTTCAGTTTTATGATCCTCTTGGCTCTTTCCATTGTCAATAGATTGAACTATTAAATCAGTATCTTTACAAAGAACATCACCATTAGAAGCAGTGTCAGAGGTCAGAGATTCAGATCTCTCTTGACCCTTTTTTAAATCAGCATCCATATTTCCAGGGTCCATAATTAAGCCAGTATCAGTTGATTGATTTTCATTGGGGCTTTCAATCCCTTTGTTAGATGGAGAGGAATGTCCATCATGGATATCTGAAGCATTCTCTTTGGGAAGCTGGACGTCTGTAGAAATGGTTTCAGAAAGAGTGGAAGGTCCAGCATTATTATCATCTACTAAGACCTCCACATTGTCCATTTCATGCTTATTCACATCATTAGTTATCACTTCTGTTGATGAAGTGCCTGACAAGGGTGGCATTTTGTCAGTTGCTGGCTGCTCCTTTTTAGCTTGGCTTGTAGACATAGAAGCACTCCCGTCATTCTCAGCTACAAGATTAAGATCAACTTTTTCACTCACAGTAGCAACATCTACTGGTTCTGCAGGTGTGCCAACTTGCTCTTTTGTAATATCATTAATAACAGGAGACAAGATCGATGATCCCTTTTGAACCTTTGTGGAATCAAACTTATTACTTGGAGAAGTTACATCTACTGACTCTTCTGATACGCCACCTTGCTCCTTTGTGGTGTCACTAATTACAGGAGATGGAACAGCTTGTCCCTTTTGAGCCTGCAGAATAGTTTATGATGTGATCAAGGTTCATGTTATAAGAACGTTGCTTAAGGATAAACTTCAGAGGCAATACCTTAGATTTTGATTTTGTCCTCTTGCCTTGAGATCCTTGCCCACTAGAAGCTAATTGTCAGAAAGGTTAAAGAAAATATTAGCACTCGTGCTTGAAAAATTTGTTGGACTGCATACTTTATAGCTGGAATTGTAAAATATGGAATTATTCTGGAAAAGGGAGCTTTTTATTGTTATTTTCTCTCTTAGAGAACAGTTATACTTCAATATGCTTCTCACCACATCTATCCAGTAAATTTTAATAATGGTGAATCAAAATGACAGCAAAACTGCCATTGTTAACCATCAGATGCGTGAAATATATTCTTTCTAGTAAATAAACGACACATAATTATAGCAATTAACCCAGGATTAAGTTCAGGTTAAGCAGTCACTATTCAAACATCAGTGCCTGAATTGATTGTGATAGACAAGAAACCATAAGCCAAACAAACTAGAATCTAAACCTGGAGACTTAGAATCTGATTGCTCATCTGCATATTCGCTGACAACTAGCTTGGCCCTTCGATCTACAACTTCGAATAAATCTGTTCAAATAGATAGAAAAGGAATATGTCATAAGTTAGAATTTGCTTCTATATGAGCAGCATACACAGACCCAAAAATGGGGGCGGAAGAGAGAAACTTCCTATTTAATGCTGCAGTAGATGATACAACCCAACTCAAAGGAGGGGGGAAACTACAAAAAGTAAATGACCCCAAATGACAATGCTTCTTCCAAGGAAAAAATACAGGAGGCAAGAGACCAATTAAACTTAGTACAATTTCTCCTGAGTGATTAAAAAAATGTGACCCCTTAAAGAATTTAAAAGTGAAAATGTGCTCCACTCGAAATTGCTGAAGATTTACTGGCAATGCAGTTAATCTGAAAGCGGTAATCCTTTTCTGTCGGGCAGCCTTAACAGCATTCATAAGTTTGGGCAAAGTGTTATGGTTCTTTGCCAAAAAATTAAACATACTTTGCATTCTCCTCTGAAGCATACATCTTTATCTAGTCAACAACACCCACAAATCAGCAAGGAGCTGGGATGTGAAGTTCATGATCATAGTTGAAACCGATATTAAACATCCAAAACAATCCGGTAGAACTTGACTAAATGCTTTTAACATCGGATCAAAGCATCTAAAGACAGTAAGCCGAAAACTGACATCACCATAACTCACAAAATTTGCAAGGGAAACCAGATCAATCTCGAAACCTGTAGAATGCTAAAAGGCAAGCAAGTCGAACCAGTGACACACTAATAGCACTGGAAGCTCAAAGTCCATATGAACCAAATAGAAACAGTCAAATTAGGGAGAATTCGGAATGTAGATGACAGGAGCAGGGAGATCGATGGATACCTTCAGCGGCCTTAAGCCAGGAAGCCATCTGAGATTAAAGTCGATTGGGATCTGAAAGGGTTTTGGGGTGCTTCCTTAGAGATCGAGGAATGGAGCCCCCATGAAGAAGCGGGGGGAGAGGACGACGTCGCTTAGATTGAGAGAGCTGGAACAGGGAGCTGAAAAATGCAGTGCTATTTGACGAGCAGGGAGAATCGCGCGAGAAATAAAACCGGTTCTTTTGGGAAGGATTCAAGCAGCGAATCACAGCTTTACGCAATCCAACGGACGGGATGGTTAGTTATGTTATGAAGAGTTGGGTTTTGGGCAAGCAATTCAGACTCACGTAAAATTGAAGAAACAATGGGGCTTCTTCCGTTCCCACGTCCACATTCTTGTTTACGCAATTGTTAGTTATGTCGGAACTTAATTGCCATGATAGCATCCTAGCTAGGCAGAACTTTTTTTTTTTTTTTTTGGGAGATGAAAGAACTTAATTTCAATTTGATAACAAAAGAGAGAGAAATTGTAAATTGTTAGTTGTGAGTACAGAAATACAACATGTCGATTTTCTTTCCAAAGATCAATTAAATTTTGTGGAAAACACAAATATTTTCATTAAGGAAAATTAATGTGTTTAAGTAATGTATACAAGAAAATCCTCTCTACATATTTTTAATCCCTTAATCGTTGGTTTTGTTTAATCATAGATACAAATATTTCTGTCTGCTGGCAGTTACTGCCCCGGAAAAGCTCATCAATTAATTGCTATTTATGGGCTTTCAACGTTTTCATATGCCATTAGTCATTGTCAGAACATATGACAAAGATTGGGCTGGACAAGGCCCCCAATCATGCAGATTAGCTAGTTGACCCAACAACATGAGTCACTGGATGGAAAGGGAAAGGTGCCTGTTCCGTTGGTTTTTTTTTTAGAATTTTCTTGAAAGGCCCCATTTATGGGCCTTATGTCAAAAAATATATATTATAGTTGAATGGGCTTAGGCTGGGAAATTTCTTTTAAGAATCTAGCCTGCGCCAAAAAAATAAATCCTGAAGGTGTGTATAGAAAAGTATTGTTTGGAAGAAGAGAACATTTTAGATGATACTCAAATTCTTTAAGAAATTAGTCTCATGATTGCCGACTGTGGAAATTCATTGGATAAAAAAAAAACAAAAAACTAACTAAGTGAGCCCATAATAGTCTTGCCTTTTTTTTTTTTGTGGACAAAATAGGTTTGCTTGTATATGTGAACTAAATGAGCTTAGTTGTAGCCTTGCATGTGGTTGCTCACAGCCTCACTTTGCTCATAACCTATAAATTTTAGGATTAAGGCTTTAAAATACCTCTCAACTAAACAAAAAAGATTAAGGCTATCCATAAAGTTAATAAAGGGTTATTTATTTCCCCCAATCCCTAAAATTTTTAATTTCATCACCGTACCATTTATTCCATCAAATTTTGCCATTGATGGGCTTCACATTTGAATTTTTTAATATGTTTAACAAGTCCCACCATTTTTTATAAGGTTAAGGGTTTAAAATACCCCTCAATTAAATGAAGAGGATCAAGGCCATCCCTAAAGTTAAAAAATGATCATTTAAATATCTCAATTACTAAGATTATCGATTCCATTACCATGTTATCTATTCTATCAAAATTTACTATTCATGGAGTCCACATTTAATTTTTAAATATTTTTATTGGATTTCACCATTTTTTTATATTTTTAGTATGTCTCCTCAAGTCACACTTTCAAGCAAGTATCTGTTCAAGCTTGTAAAAATTTAAACTTTACGCCATGACTTTCTAATGGCTCCAAGCTTGATTTTTCTTTTGTAACTCCTAACATTGTCCTAAAATCTGCCATTACTAAATGGTGCCAAAACTTCGTCTGTAATATTCTAAAAAAAATAAACCCTAGTAATCAACCTAATAAAGGATAATTAAGTAAAATTTATGTGGTATGTGATTAGAGGAAACTAATGGGTGCCTTTGGTTGGGATTCCAGGCATAAATTTGGGACTAAAGTGAAATTGAATCATTTGGGCATTAAAAATGGAGAAAAACAAGGAAGAAAGTCTTTATGCCATATATTATAGTGTGTGCAGTGTGTACCACACACATGGAGCCAACAAACAAGATCTTGCCTCCTCTATAGGTGTATGGCCTATTTTCTATAGAAATAGATCATGTTTTGAGGCAAAAAAACAAAAGAGAAAGAGAGAAAAAAAATGAAGAGCTTGATACTTGCTTTGCTAAGGCTTGAGGAGTTGAAGCTTAGGGAGCATTTTGAGCCTTAAAACATCAAAGGCAAGTCCCACAAGCTCCTTTCTTCCTTTCCCTTCATTTTTAAAGAACTTTTGAGTTAGGGTTTGTTAATGAAAATTGATTTTCAACCCATATAAGTTATAAGTCTAAACTCATTGACTCAAATAAAATTAATGAAAGTTATTTGAGGCATTTAAACTTAAAAATAATGGGTTTACATGTTTTGGTTATGGGTGCATTGATGGTTGAAAATACCATTTATTATGGTTGTTAAACTTGGCTAAGGAGCTATTAATGATTATATAAGAGTTTAATGAAGCTCTGGGGAGTTCAAGGCAATTAATGAACTCAATGGTTAAGCTTGAAATGCTAGATGTGAGGATTTTTTATTATTTTGGATATTGAAATAAACGTGAAATGGAGTGTATGTGGTAATGTTGATGAATTTAGACTTGATTAATTATAAATTAATCATCCTTACACCATATTGGGCTTGAAGAGAAAGCTTAGAAGCAAGTTATCAAGGGGTAACTATTTGACCTCTCAAAACTTTAAGGTAACCAAGCTAAACTTATTGTGTATAGTTATTTGTTTATTGATTTATGTTTTTGAAAATGTTTAAATTGACTTAAATGGTTGAATGTTATAGTTGCTGCTATGCCAAAAATCCAATGAAGCTTTACTAAACCTAATGTGGCTATAATAATGAATTTGAACTTGAAAAGTTCCACATTGTGTTTTGCATTAAAACGAAAAGTTAGTGAGTTGATGTGAGGATATTGTGATGTGAAAAATACAAACTTATAAGTTGACCTGATAAATGTATGATGTGGAGATTATGCATGTGATTTTTTTTTTTGGAAAAAGAATAATTATGAAAATATTACAAAAGCTCACATAGGTTAGATCGTACTTGTAACCTAACAAGTCATTTATTTGCGAAATAAGTGAGTTTCATGCATTGCATAATCCTTTGGTAGGAGTTCGCCTAAAAAGAGAAGTAGATTAAATCCATATTATACTTATGGTAGCCTTTCGATGTATGAAGGCTAGCTTTGTCTCACTATTTTTCAAGGAATTGTTTCATAGTTTGTCGAGAGACTATAACTTAACCATCTCCATATGTTTGTTGAGGAGATTAGTTTAGGTTATACAATACCCCAGATATTCGAGAATGAAAGAAGCTGTGGCCCGAAAGTAAGTAATGTGATTTTTGATCGAGTCACACCTCATAATCAATGAGCTTGGGTAGTCTAGTCGTGCAAACGAAGCCTTAATTGATATTATATCTCATGGTTTTATTTAGAAAAAATAATGAGGGTATAAAGAGCAATTGATCATGCATATGTTTATCCGATGCGTCACTAGTTGCTAAGTTTGTGGCGTGTTGTAATAGTGAATTGTGCCATTATCACATGGTTGTATGTATTACGACAATGTGCATCATGATTGTTAATCGAGCCATTATCACATAGTTGTCTATATTATGGCAACGTGTCTCATAATGTGATTATGTGGAAAAAATTTGATCAAAAGTTAATGGTATATTGTAATATATATGTATGTTATGTGCGATTTTATAAAATTAAATATTTTACTCCTCTTTATGTGTTTTTATCGATTGATAAATAATTGCATAGAGTAAACGTACCTTGGTTATTAAGTGGTTGAACTCACTGCTCTTTTTCAATATTTTATAGAAGCTAGCTCCGGTGTAAAAAGAGAGAAGACTCAAGAGGCTTAGGATTTTGAGTATTCCTATTGTAAAGCCTTTTATCTTAATTTATTTTGTGTAATAATTAGAGTATTGTCAATTAGGATTTTTTTTTAATATACTTGCACCATGTTATTGTTTATAATTTTGGGATATATTTTGGCCCTAGAATGTTGTTTATAAGATTATTAAGTGTTGATAGGGTCAAAATACTAATACAAATATAGGAACTATTGTCATATTATTGGAATTGAAAATGATTGATTTATGCAATACTAAAACTTTTTTCTTCTGTTTTTAGTATTAATAGGGGCTTGGGAGTGAAAATTGAGAATTGTTGAGTTTATATGTGTATGGTGTGTTGTACAGATAAGCGTAAGTCTATTGAGTATGTTCTAAGCGATAGATGTAACTTTGGCACATGTATGAGGTTTTAAATACCCTTGAGCTGTGAAAAGTGTATAAAATTGTAAAAAAAGTGTTTTGGGTATTCAACTTTTTTATGTGATATAATTTAAAAATAAAACCCATGCTATCAACTAGTTTATAAAAAGGGCTTTATATAAACACTTAGATTGCCTCAATCAAACGTTAGACGGGAAAAATAGGGCATGTTAGAAGTTGCTTGGGTTGCTATCATTTGACAACAAAATGATGTATGATACGTGCAACACGCCGTTATGCATGTGCACAAGTGCGGTGCACCTCTCTATTTTTCATTCCTTGATACTTTTCAATTGTTTTGAGTCCCTTTGACTCCTAAAAGGTATAACATGTTTCCAAAATAATATTTTACTCTGACTAAAATATTATTAAATGATGTTTAAGCAAGTTGAATTTTAAAAAACTTGAGATCTTATTCTTACAAATTACCAACTTGGTAATCTAATTAGATTAGTTCAATGGTTACCTTGATTTTTTGTATTAATTGTGATTAAGCAAAGGCATATTACATAGCCAACCATTATAGAAACATACTTTTGATGCACTCTTCAGCCTAGCCATTTAGAAATAATAAGATTGCAATCAGCGTGCTAGGTGCTTTGCCATCACTACTCCACTTGCTTCAATTTGAGAATGAGTGAACAAGAGAGGGAATTGGGGGGAGAAGAGAGGGAGGAGTGAGAGGGGTATTTTTTAAAATTATATAAAATATTTAAAAATGATGGGACCTATTGAAAATATTAAAATTTTCAAATGTGAGCCCACTAACTATGAAAATTGACAGAAAAATAGTAGGGTGATGAAATCAAAAATCTTAATCACTTAGGGATATAAATGATTGTTTCTTTACTTTAGGGACAATCCTGACTTTTTTCACTTAATTGAGGAGCATTTTAATATCCTTAATCTTAAATTTTATACCGTATAGGGATATATAGATATAAATGTAAAATTTTACCAAAATAAAATTACTAACTAATTAATACTTCTCTAGTTTATAATGTGGAACATTTTCTACAGATTAAGGTTAATTCAAAATGTAGGATATTTTGTGGTTTCAACTTTTAAGAAATATCTTTTCATTTTTATCTTTTATTGATTAATATGAACTGATTAATTATACATGAGAAATTGTGGGTGTTAGTTATGAATAAGGGTAAGTCTAAAAAAATAAGTCAAATTTTCACGAGATTCATATAAAAAAAATGAATGAATTGAATTTCCTTTAATATATGTGATACATATTAGAAGTTTCGTATATTTTGGAACTGAGGCAGTGTAAGCTAAATGCGAATGGGTGTTTTGCACAAAATCCCAAGCAAATTATCACATCATTTATTTTATTTTACGAATAATGCCACTTTTTATATATTTAATACCTGGATCTTGGAATACATGTTTTCTTAAACAAAATTAAATATTATAGTGTCATATGCAGTTGTTACATTTAACCCATGAAATTGCAAATCCCATAATAAATATGTAAACTTTGTTGAGTTTTTGTACAACTAACTTCAATGGGTTTCCTTAATTTATGAACTATTAATAAAATAATTATGGGCATGGGAGAATAAACACATGTTTAAGGGAAAAGGTAGGTTGGTCTTTACTCATTTTATTTTTTTTAAATAATTCGCTTTTAACTAGAGCCAGTAAAATAGGTTAAACTTATTGAGCCAGCTCATTTAAAGCTTTAAAATAACTAAGATAAAGCTATTAAAATAGAGGTGAAAATGAATTTTGAATTTAAAAAGGCTGACTATAATGACTTAAAAATAAAAAGATCAACTCTTTAAGAAAAGAGAATTTTTTTTTTTTCATTCTGTTATTCGAAGTCTTTAATATGTCTCTCATCAATAATTTAATGATCACCGTTCCATATTTAAGGATTAGATGTACATTGTTAGAAGTGAAACCGATCATCTAGCTGCAAAGCATGAGTATCCCAACTAGGAAGGGCTATATAATGCAAGCAGCTAGAAGGGACGAATTTTCTCATTTTTGTTTAGCTCCACATGCATGTCCTTTCCATATGTGCTCATACAGCTCTAATCACAAATTAATGAAAAACACAGTCATCAATTTTGATAGTTTCATTAAATTTTGCTTTTAATTCTTATAACTTTTTAATATTTATAGTCTCTATATTTCAATAAATTAAGTGATGTTTGTTACTTAAATCTAGGGACTGAAAAGAAATATAACGACTAAATGCAAAATCTAACAAACGAAAAAAAAAAACTAATGGCTGTGTTTTTTTTTCCAAATTAATTAATAATTACATTAATACGGTCAAAGATAGATTAGAAGATTATAATGAATGTAAAGTATAAAAAAAAAAAACAATATGTCTCATACAAATTTGTATGCTACTTTTCTCTTTTTTAGTTTACATTTGCAACGTGCCGTAAGTGAAATGGAATGTGATTTTCATTATCAGGGACATGAAAAAATATTTTTTTTGTCCATTTTGCTCCTTTTTTACAATAATGTCACTATATTAATATATAATAAAACGATTACAAGATAAAAGAGCCCCCCAATTATAATCTGGAAGCCCGATTAATTT